GCTGAAGCCCCCCCCACCCGCACAGATCCAGGGGCACATACCCCCTCAATGCCCTCCCAGGGTGTGCACAGCGGTGGGAGCTGCCCCCCACATTCCCTGGACAAGCTGCGGCTCCATCTGGTGCCCAAGAACCTGCCCCAACCCCACTCCCTGCTTCACCACAGGGCCCTTGATCAACCCTCCTATGCCCCTTCCTTTCCCCCTCCCCTTCCACCACAACAAACTTACCAGCTGCTTACAGCTGTATCGGAAATCGGATTGGTATCAGCTGATATGCCTCCTTAAAAATTGACTATCAGTATCAGCTCCCAAAATCTCTATCGGTGCACTCCTACTAGGAATCTAGCATTCAGTTTCTGCATATACTGAGAATCGTTGCCATCTTGGTAGGGCTAGCATTTGTGTACCTGTTTCAGGCCTACACTAACAGGGATTCTCAAACTACACTTTTTCCCTCCCACAAATCCCCTCCCCACCCAGGGGTCCAATCTGGTAGAGCACATGATAGAGCACATGTCAAGACCACACCTAACACACTAACAGAAATGAACTCTACAAAAACACAACGACCATTCCCTATTAGAACGGCCTTTGGCCTAGTGGCTAAGGCGTTCTCCTGGACAGCACGATGTGGATTTGAATTCCTTGGTCTAAGCAGGGTCTAGAGCAATGTTTCTTAGCCAGGGTGCCACATCACTCTGGGGTGCCATGAGATCTTTTCAAGAGTGTCATTGGGTGCCATGCAATATAGCACATAGGTGTGCAAACACCTATACGTGGTTCATGAAGTAAACACAGAGATTTAAAATCAGAATCCATTGTGTCAAAAACATTCTGACCTGTTGTGGTCTTTCTGAGTTCTTTGCAACAGAACTGTTCTATTATTTTTCCATAATCAAAAAATGAGTGAAAGCTAAGAACTGATATTTTCTGAGTCCAACTAAGGATGCCTTGGGTCTAAAAAGTTTAAGAACCACTGGTCTAGACCCTAAGTCTCACCCATTTTGGGTAAAAGTTCTAACAATTGAGGCACCGAATAAAAGGGGAGCACCTTGCCACTTGATGTAAAGGAAAGAAGGGACCATGGCGTTGTTTTTGAAAGAAATGATATAGGCAGCTAACTAAGAGAGGGTTTGAGCTGCAAATCCTATTTTGTCAAAGCTATCTCCTTGCAATCCAGGGTTAGGCATCAAAGCCTTGAAAGCAGCAGAATTCAACTTGCTCCTCTCTCTAACATTTTCTGTTGGCTATCTTAGTCAGCTACCTGTTGTAAATCTCATTCTGAGACACCTGATTCTCTCCATGCATTGTATGGGGATTTAAACACTTAACGCAGGGCTGTGGACTCCAGATCAGAAGCTAAGCTCCTAGGTCCCTTTTGTGGAACTTGACCCTAGTGTCTAGTCTGAGTAGTTCAGAGAAAATAGTCTTTCCCTCAGCCTCTACCCATGGCCATGCGGTGCTATCTGTCCAGTGGTAAAATAGGCCCCTGTGCCATAATGCACCCCTGTTTTGAGGAAAGGTCTCTACAGTCCCTGTCATAGTAGCTCCTCTTGCTCTTCCATTCACAGATGTGGGGGAAGCCACAAATCTACTCCTTGAGCTCAAGGTTATCTTTTTGTTTAGAGGAACTGAACCACTGAAGCTAACAGTGGGTTCCTTGGGGTCATGGAATTAAGGTATGCATTTCATGCTACAGGTAGATTTCTTTTTCTGTCCCAACAGGTTTCATTCCCAGATCCCAAGCAATGTAAATGTTATTAAAGTTATCCACATAATTAGTTCTTGTTTTTCACCTTAAAAGATATATTATGAATATTGGCATGTCAATTGTATTGGTTGTTTACAGCTAATTATACATATGCTAAGTAATCTATACAGATATGCTTGAGTTAAAACACTTAAGGACCAGATATTTAGTCTCAACAAAAATCCAAAAGCTCAGGGAATGACAAAGAACAAGGCTTCTGCCCTGTGTTTAAGCTGATTTGTATAGAAACAAGAGTTAAGCAGGGGTGTGTAGAACTGCTCTTCTGAAATTTATACTTTATACTAAATCATTTAATACCTTTATCTGGAAGCACATTTACATTTCTTGTATCTTTGCCCCCCATTTTTAATCCTTCTTTCTGAAGTTTAACATTAAGTTTAACCTGGGCTAGGGACAGACATTCAAAAAGCCTGAGCCTGAATTGATTCAATCTTTTCAGGTTAGTCTAACCTAGCTAGGCTGAACTGGTTTGTAACTGCACAGACATTCTCTCTGATCTAGGGAAATTCAGGCACATGCCTGCAGTGGCTCAGGCTAGAAGCCGGGGGGGGTGCTACAGCAGCCTTCTATAGTGCTGAGCTGAGAGGGGTGTGGTCAGGCCCTGGCAGGATGCTCTGATTAGGGAGGAGTGGCAACCCCCACCACCTGAGCATGCCTGCACCATCCCTACTCATTGCTCAAGGGCTGGGAGTGTTGCCAGACACCAGCCCTGGGCTAGCACACTGAGGTAAAGGAGGGGTGTGCAGTGCATGCATCTGTTGCTGATACTGAGCTTTTCAATCTCCCTCTCCCTGCTTCTTCATACTGTCTGTAAATCTGACAGGCAAGGGAGCCATCAGGGGGCTGATAAGTGTTTATCAGTGCATCAACAAAACAAGCCTCTCTCTTTAGTTCAAGCTTTTCTTAAACAGCTTTTTCCAAGGAAGAAACGGAGGGATATTACCAGCTAACTATTGATTAGCTCCAAAAAGCCCTAAGTGGACACTGTTCTATCTGCCTGTCCCAGTGAAATTGGAGACACACACAGACAGACACTGCTTAGCATTAGCTAGCATACTGCATGCCTAGGGTCCGTGGGGCTGGGGTCCATGCTGTGGGAGGGAGGGAAGCGGGGACCCTGCTTGAGCAGCAAGCAGGGAAGGGGGGCAGGGGGAAGCAAGGCAGACCCTGCTGTGCCTGCAATCTCTGATGGAGCTCTGGCTAAGGAGCAGAGGGGCAGGGCCAGCTCTGCTCTCTGGAGCTGCAAAGCTTCTGGGATGCTGGGGGACTCTGGTTTAACTTAAACCAGGTAGGGGTCTGGGACAGATATTGCATAAACTGCTTTGACCCAAATCAGTTAAGTCTGATGCTACATTCAACCAGATTTATCTTAAACCCGTTTCAGCCATTTTGAAAAGGGTTTATGTGCACTGGACTTATGTTCTGTTACAGGTATAAACCAGTTTCTGATCACTTAAACCAGTTTATATGTAATGTCTGCCCCGGCCCTGATGTTCTAACTTGTGCCTGCATCTGGGTTATGCCTGCCAGAAAACCAAAGAACCATAACCATTTTCATGGGAGCTCCTTTTTTTGCTGTTCTAAGAAGTGTTGTTTTTATTGTACTCTCTGTAGTATTCCATAAGTGTGAGTTCAAATGAAAATTAATTAATGACCTTATACCATAGGTGGAAGACTGTATCACATCTTTCTGGAAGTCTTTGCAGCCTGAAATAATAATACTCATGTCATCGCCAGACATGTGCCAGTTGTTTAAATGCTACGATAGACAGCTATTCAAGGTACTGCAGATGCACAATTGTTTATTGTAATTATTTTACAATCATATTTGTAAGATATTGCTACCTAAAAAAAATCACAATTGTTTATTATGTGCCTATACCATAGGAATTGTCTGAATTTTAAGCATTTTTTTGCATTCTGTGTTGAAACACTATGTTTGGGATGTTCAAAGAAGCCTGTTGAGAGTTTGGCACTCAACTCTCAGTGAATGTCCATAGGCTCCTTTGAAAGTCCATGGCCTGCACTAGTGGAATGAGTATGGTTTTACAAGCTTGAGAGTATATATGAGTGATAAGAATGAACATTTTATTATTGCTCTTTATCTTTTGTTTTTTCAATTTGTTTTTTACTTTGACAGCACTATATGTTTTCTATTTAAACATCAGGATCAAAACACTCAGTTCTTCAGCCATAGAATTTCAGTTTTACCTGAAACTGGTTATAATGATACAGGTAGATAATTTATTAAAGCAATGATGTTTAGGCATTTACAATTAGAATCTGTTCCTAATGTTATTAAAATCAGTGGAAGTTTAGCCATTCACTTCAGTGGAAGAAGAAACAGGTGTCCAATAGAATTACACTTATGGCATAAATCTGAATCATATCTTATGATGCTATAAACAGATGTAGCATATCAATTATATGAAATTTGTATATTCCCTATGACATTTTATTGCAGGAAATGGAGAGCATTCTGCTTCATGATTTCCTGGAAGATGTCTCTATACAATATTTAAAGTCGGTCAGATTGTTTAGTAAAAATGTTAGCATTTGGCTAGTTAGTGCTTTGGAAGATTTTCCGCTACTGCTACGGATGCTCAAAATAAAAGGTATGTTGCAGTATAATATGGAGATATTATAAGATAGGTAGATATGTAGGAAGAAAAGATATCCAAAACATAATGGTCAATCTGCTTTTAGGCTTAATTTACTCTATAAAGATGACTATATCACAAAACCATTTTTTAAATGAACTTGAAAAACTGTCAGATTGGATAACTGTGATAAAGGGATTAGTTGGCTGCTACCAAAAAGACATAGTTTTGTATAATTAACAAAAAGGAGCGGGGAATATGCCCATTTCATGCTGTCCATGCTAATCAAAACTGTATCAGTACCCCAGTATGATCACTTTGGCAGCATAAAAGATAATGAAGATTATGAATAATATGAACATAGATGGTAGCAAAGAACAGCTAAAAATAACAGCAGATTTTGTCTTAAAGTTATACTGTATTACCAGTTTAGTAGTTTTGTAAATTTTAAATGACTAAGTGCAAATTTACCAGCAGGTAAATAGTGATAATGGTTTGTAAAGTTCTTATTCATTTGTGAAATTATTAGACTTGGGGCTGGTAACATGCTATTTTATTAAGGTTCTCTGACACTTCCCATCATAAGGCTGTATTTTCAATTTCATATTACTTTTTCAAACTTTAACCATTGTTTTGCCCATGTTAATATAATCCTTGAGATTTTTTTTTTTTGTAATACTCCAGCATCATCATGCTTTGGAGCACAAACATTAAGTTTGGTACTGGGGGAAGGAATTTAGATCAGGAATCTTCCACTGCTCTTATGACTATCCCCTCCAAATTGGGCCATGTTAAAGTCTTTGGACAGTATCATTTGCTCATTCTTAGGGGTCTGTCCAACTTTAGGAGGCAGCCAGCCAATTTTGTGGGCAGATTGCAGGGCCAGCTGCCATTTTTGAGGGCTTATCATGGGGGGGGGGGGGGTGTGTGTGTGTGTGTGTGTGTGCGTGTGTGTGTGTGTGTGTGTGTGCGTGTGTGTGTGTGTGTGTGTGTGCGTGTGTGTGTGTGTGTGTGTGTGCGTGTGTGTGTGTGTGTGTGTGTGCGTGTGTGTGTGTGTGTGTGTGTGCGTGTGTGTGTGTGTGTGTGTGTGCGTGTGTGTGTGTGTGTGTGTGTGCGTGTGTGTGTGTGTGTGTGTGTGCGTGTGTGTGTGTGTGTGTGTGTGTGTGTGTGTGTGTGTCGCCCATGCCTCTGATTGGTCAAGGGGCCCCAGTGGTCCTGCCCCTCACCACTGGTTGGCAAGAGTTGTCCATGATATGCCCTTGCCCCTCATTGCTGACTGGTTTTGTGAAGGCTGTCTGTCATGTGCCCAACCTGATCCCTGCTGACTTCCTGCCCCTGGGGCAGGGGGCTGGATTTGATGATCTTCCGAGGTCCCTTCCAGCCTATGAGTCTATGAATCTTTGGTTTCCCCCTGTGCCATCAGCCCCCGCTTTCCCCTTCCCCACTGGTGGGCTATGAAGCCTGGCCACAGTGCCATGAGAAGTGCTGGCTCCCTCTGGGGAGCCAGAATTTTATTTTCAGTAAGTTTTCTTTTTTTCATGGATTTTGCAGACATTGCCTGCTTTTGCAGACAATTCCAGATTTTGCATTTTCTGCTAATTCTTTGAAATAACGATTTTGGTAGGTCCCTACTCATACTCAGTAAAGACTCAAGAGTTTAATAGACAAAATCGCTAAAGATTCTCCTGTATATCTAAAGATTACCTTGCTTGAGCCTTTAAACAGCTCCTACTGCTGAGCACTGCCTGTGCATCATCCCCACAGTGAGATTTGCTTCATGCCAGAGCAACAAGGACAAAGCCCGATTTTTCCCTTTAATGGCTGTTCCCAGCTACTCCAGGCTTGGGTGGGGCCTAGAACTAGGAGTGACAGTAGAAAGCCTGTACATCAAATGAGGCCACTGGAGGTAGGATGGAAGAAAAAGCTATTTGATTCAAGTCCAAACAAGGCATAGGCAAAACAGCAAGGAGGCAAAGGAATAGATTGGAAGGAGTCTGTTGAGACTGGGAGTGTACAAGGAGATGAGAAACTGCAACTGAGAGCTGGAGAGGAAAAGCTAGAGAGGGATATTGGGACAGGAAACCAAGCAGGGAAGCTGGAAATGACTGGGACTTGTTGCGGGGACTGGGATTGGAAGCCAGGAGGACAGTAACACAATCAGCTGTGAAAGTGGAGCACTGAAATCAGTTGAGCAGCTGTGGTGGAGTGGGAAGACTGGACTGTCTGGACAAAAAACTGAAACTAGGAACCAGTGGGAATGAATGGGTAAGATGAAGAAGAGACTGATCTGAAAAGACTTGGGCTGCTAAGGGAGAAAAAGGAGGAGAAGGACCTTCCTACCTTTTAGCTAAACAGTTAGTGGTTTGGGCACTTGTCTAGGGAGTGAGAGACCCATGTTCTGTGCTCCCCTCATCATCCCACCATGGACTTGCAGGTCCAAAAGCATCTTGTATGGAAGCTTATGCAGGACAAGAAGAAAAGGAAACAAATGGGTGTGTGGCTTAGTGAAACACTGCACTTCAAAGTGAAGTGTTCTGGGTTCTAGCTGCTGACAATGTTGCTTCTGAATTTTGCTCTAATAGCCATTGGATAGACAGCCATGGGCTAGAGAGTAAATTACCAGAGTAGATCCCTTCAGACCATACTCTGAGAGACAGGCCAAAGTTATAGAGAGGGGAGCAAGATGTAAAATCTATGCAAGTGGCCCTTAATTCCACTTATGTGATCAAGTTTAGCTGTGTAAGTGCTATTTACTGACCTGAAAGGGAGTCGGATTTGGGCCTGTCTTAGATTGGGCACTCAAAATTAGTGAATATTTTTTACTTTAATCACTTAGTGCCTCACTTCCCATCTGTAGGTTGTGGCTAACACCATCCTTTCTCCTCATGAGGGTTTTTGAAGATAATTAATGTTTGCAAAGCTCTCAGGTACTATAGTGATGAGCACATGAGGAAATTAAAAATTCTGTCTTCAGAGCAAGATATGCATAGTGTATAATAAATAAAGTCCATTTACTGAAGAGTGAGGATAAACAAGACATTGAATAGGCTCACATTAAGTGAGCATCATCCATCCTGTGCACTGAATGAAGCAAGGTTCCTATGGATAAAATAGTGCATGATTGTGTAACTTAAAACATCATAATGCATGTAAACAAGGAGGATGAGCTCAAGTTGCATAAGCAACCTTAATTCTGGCATATCCTAACTTTTGAACACTTGGCTTGGCATCCTTAACACAGTTCTTTTAACATAGATATCCTTGGACTTCTGGTTCACATGGTTTGCATAGTCTCAGAAGACCAAGAGCCCAAATCAAAGGAAAATACAGCTTAGCTGGAATGTTCTCTAACTTGTTTTATAGTATCATTGGATATCTCTGTACCTCAAAATTATATTTTTAATTTTTTTTATCCTTAGATCAGACAGGGACCTCTTAAGTTTTGTATAGTGCCCAGCATATAATTTAGTATTTACCCTTCACAGCTGTAAAAGCTGAAAGGTGAATATTTAAAATGTTAAATATCAAAAGATGTATAATGAATGTTCTTTTAATTGTTGTTAAGTTGTAATATGAATGTACATTGCTGTAAGATAAGAAAAAAGTGTTGATTGGAAATGTTGAGGTTTCATCATGGCTGTATTGATCTGAGGTATAGGGAACAGTGTTCACAGGGCAGCTCCTGTGTGCTAACTGCAAGCTTTAGAGTGATGGAGCTTGATACTGCAAGATGCTGGCTGAGTGCCCTCTCTAAGTTCTGAGTTAGCTTGTCTTCATTAGTGTCCTTTAGGATGTAAAATGGCCTCTTTTTCTTTAACAGAAGTCACTGTTTTTGTGAAAAGAATAAGAAGAAAGACGTATCTTTCTAATATGGTGAAGGTATGTTTCAGGTACTTTTGAAAAAAGAATCCATGAAGCACTCACCCCTAAGTCTAGCCTAATTCATACCTTACTGTAGGAATATCACAGTAAAGCAGTTCTTTATGTTTGTTTACTGCCTTAACTAACTGATTGGTGATTACATCATGCCTCACCTTCCCCTCTCCACCAAATCTACATACCAAGAGCACTCTCTTTGGGTATTCTTTCCTACTCTGGATCCCGAAGAAATCTCTCTAACAGAATCGGGGACCTACGCTGTGGAAAACAATAGACTGACCAGTTTAAGGCGGGTGGATGACATTGAGGATAACAATGGTAGCCACACATTTTCTTCCCTACGACCCAAGAAATTAATCAGAAAAGGTAATAGAGCCCCACTTGACTCTGTGGCCTCTCTAAAGGAGATAAATTGCCAAAGAACAGGGGAAGGGGCCTGCAAACCAAGCTATCCCTAGCTACTGGTATTTTTCCATCCTGGGCAAAATAATTGTTGCTCCTCTGTCCTCCCCATTTATGTAGCTGACTGTGCCAACTACTCAGAAGCTGCTGATCACTAAATCAGCTCTAGACAGGCACTCTTTTTTCTTCCAGCTCAGCCACCCTGTGTGAGGATAGGAAGTGCTTATTTTGTCCACAAGGACTCAAGCTTTGCCTCTACATCATGGATGGGCAAAGTCCAGCCCGCAGGCTGGATCCAGTCAGCAGTGGACTCCATTTCCCAGCAGTCCCTGTGTATGGCTGGAGCCCTCTGCAGCTGTGCATGAGGCTGAGGCTGGGGTTGCCATGGAGACCAGCCTCAGCCGTGCTGGCAGGGCACATGGCAGAGCAGGGTAGGGGGCTGCTCCAGAGCTGCTCGGATCTTCAGTGGGGGCAGCTTGCTCCGGAGCCAGGGCAGAGCCACGATCATAGGCAGATTAATGGATGGGCCAGCTGGGCCTCTACCAGTTCAGGACCCCAGGATCCTCATCACCAGGGAAGTGGAAGCTGCAGTTTTAAACTCGGCATCTGTTTTTGTCTCCCAACAGGGAGACAAAAATGGCACCAAGTTTAAAACCGCAGCTTTCCCATTTGCTTCCCTGGGACCTGGAAGCAGGGCCCCTCCATCAATGGGGCAGGGCTGGGGCTGGGCCAGGAAAGCCATGTCATGCCTGGGGGAGGTGGCAATGCACCAGGTGGGGAGGGGGCCTAGCGGAGCCAAGAGAGCTACAGCCCACCTGGCCGGAGTGGGGTGGCCCTCAGGGCTAGGCCGGGTCAGGAGCACCACGGTGCACTGCACCTTTGTGGGCGGCAGTGCTGGGAGGGCCTTGGGGGCTATAGCCCCCCCAAATTCATCATAGCCCTCCTGCGGCCACCCCTCCCAGTGCTGCAGCCTGCCCGCAGAGACACAGCATAGCACTCCTGGCCCAACCCAGCTCCGCCCAGCCCTCTGCATCTACATGGCTGCACGGGACACCTGGGCAGCAACTCCCTGCAGGTAAGCGTAATAGGGGCTGGGTGAGGAGCTAGTCTGAGCTGCTTGCAGTGGCGGGGGGTGAGGGAGGGCTGCCCTCGTGTGATCAAGAGTGGGGAAAGGAGGAAGACCTGTAAGGGGAAAGTGTGTGTGTGTGTGTGTGTGTGTGTGTGTCCATCTGTCTGTGCATGTGTGTGTGTCTTCATGGCATGGAGAGTGTGTTTTTTGTCTGTGTCCATGTGAAGAGAGAGAGTAAAGTGTGCATGCCTGTGTGTGTGCACACCTGTGTGTGTGCATGTGTGTATACATTCAGCCGGAGTAGGGAGAAGAGGCTGGCATGTGCCCCCTGCAGCCTGGTGGGGTCCACGCGGCCTCCCCCAGCAGCACTAGGTGGGAAGGGGCCCCTTCCCTGCCCCCCCCCCTGCAGCCCAGCTCCCAAGGGGGAGCCAGAGTGGGGCCAGCCTCAGCTGTACTGCTGGGCTGGAGGAGTCAGACACCTCAGGACCCCCGCACCCACCCTGCCCCAAGTCAGGGCAGGAAATGAGACAAAGCCATGGCTTGTCTGGGGGGGCATGGGGAGGGGGTGGCAGTTCCTGCCACTGCACGCATCCCAGGAGGCATGGGGGTGTGTGCACCGGGATCTGCATGGGGCAGGGCGGCTGCCACTGCAGGCTGGAGCCAGGGCAGCACCAGACTCTTCCTGGTGGGGGGGCCTGGCCTGTGCTGGGATGGGTGGCAGTGGTGCTGGGAGGGGGTGTGGGGGGGCTACAGTGAATTTTCAGGTGGCTGCACCCTCCCCCAGAACCCCTTACCTGCACCACCACTGCAGTTCCAGCTCCAGCATGCAGTGGCAGCCTGCCCTGCCCCGTGCAGCAGATCCAGGGGCACGCACCTCCCATGCCTCCCAGAGTGTAGCAGCAGGAGCCACACCCACCCCCCCATAAGCCACTCGCAGATCAGTCCCACACCCCACCAGCTGTACAGCACGTGCTCCTCCCCTAGCCCCAGGCTGCCCCAGCCCAACTCCCTCCCTCACCGCTGCCTGTGTGACCCTCCTTACCCTGCTGCAGCCACCGAAAGCCTACAGCCAAGCTGCCTTATGGTCCTATCTTTGCCCCACATTTGGGGGGGCTAAGCCCTGTTAACCTCCTCCTTGGCCACCTATAAGGGGGCCTCCAATTTTGTGTTTGGCCAGGGCCCCAGTACCCCTAAATCCTCATCTGGCCGTGATTTATAGCCTGCATGCTCTGGGCAGGGGTGTGCAAGCAGGGGATTGTGGCTGTGCCCCAGCTCCTTGCAGCGGTGACAGCCTGGTCTGGAGCAGGGGCAGAGCCTGCTTGCTCACCCCTTCCTGGAGCATGCAGGCTACAGATTATGACTCTGCCCTGGCTCCAGAGCAAGCTGCCCCCCAGTCACAAGACCCCAGCAGCTCCAGACCAGCAACCTGCTATGTCACATGCCCTGCCAGCAGGGCTGAGACTGGTTTCCATGGCAACCCCAGCCTTGAGCTTTCACAGCAGTAGCTGTGGCTGGAGTCTCCCTGGAGACCAGCCCCAGCCATGCAGGCAGGGGCTGCTGGGAAATGGAATCTGGCTACAAGGCAGATCAGCCATTTTGCCCACCCCTGCTCTACATGGATCCTGGGTGTATGCCAGGTGTGGCACGAAGCCTTAAGCCATTTCCACTGATTAGTGCCACCCTCCCTCATTTGACGGGATATTCTAAGGAAATCTCTGCAAGTTAACCATCACTGAGCTTCCTTCTTTAGGGTTATCTGGGGTTTTGTATGCAGGGAGAGGGCCTGAAACACAAAATAGGAGATCTGTGACAGTATGCGTCTCCTGCCCCTTCTTGTCCTATAGTGTTATTCTTCCTACATCAAATAACCAGAAACTCCAGCAAGAAGCTCTTCTTTTAACCCTCCAACCCAAAATGTCTTCCTCCTACACATACAAGGTTTGTTCCTGAGGTGCTAAGCATGTGACTGCAGTAGTTCTTGAGGGTGCTGATTACATCAGAAGAACAGGCCCATGCATATTTTTCAACATTGTGCCTTGCATACACCTAGAGCATGACCTGCAAGAGTCCCAAGTGCCTACAATTCACACTGATTCAAATTCATTTGTTTTAACTCGGGGCATCTTTCTTTGCTGTACTTGAGCTCTGTTGTTAGGGAGCCGGCTGCAACTTTCTGATTCTCCACTGCCCGCTACTAGTGCATATTAAAACTATTAGGGAGTCAGGTGTAGCTTGTGCTACTGGGCTTCATACAGAGTAAAATTCTTCTGGTGCAGGAGATCTTCATTGGCAGTATCTGGCTTTAGATTCTTAGGTTCACTTTGCACCATCTCTGCAGCACAAAGTGAACTTTGAAAACTGGAGATTCTGGGACACCATACTGTGTACTCACAAACCAAACATTTCAGATCTGATTTTTATTTATAGCAGGGAAACATCTACAGCTCACCTGACTAAATTATATTTACACCCACCATAAGACCTCCTTAAACTACCAAAGAATCAAGCCTCTCATATATTTAAAAATATATATTTTAACAAGTGATATACATAATAAGTGTTTTAAAAATAAATCCTTTGAAAACCCTGGTAACAAATTCACCCTATAGTCCAGGCATACCTTGAATTTTACCTGGAGATAAATTGGCAGTCTCCATCTGTCACTGTCATCCAAGTGAGAAGCACCTGGTAATGACTGTGTCACTGCTGTTTGTGAATGATATAACTACCACTTGTAGCATGCTTGACAGCAATCTAGCCACCTGGTGAGGAAGCATGGATAATTATGGCCAGGTCAGCATTGGAAAGGAAAATGTTATCTACCCACCACATGTGGATAAAGCACACTTAGCATCTGTTTCTATCTAGACATCCAGAAGTAATAGGGTGGGAATACCCTTTGAGTGGGAAGTGTGGGTATAACTTCTGCCACTTTTCCTGGTTGCTTCCTCCACTCTATAAGCATTATCTGTGGGTTGTCACCGTTAGCTTTCAGGTGCACAAGGCGGATCCGGACCAGGCGGATCTAAAGCAGTGTCCTTCAAACGGCATTAGGTTGTTGGAGAAAAAGACACAAATGAAGACAATTTCAACTTAGGTAATAACCTAAGATATTGTAGTGTTCTTTTGGGGTTTTTTTCTCCATTTACACTTCCCCTACTCTATCTTCTACTTTCCTAAACCTTTAGCTTGTGTACCCTCTAAACATTTGCACTGTGGTTGCAGTGACATGAAGTGTCATTCTTTTATAACTGGTCTCACAAAATCCTAGGAGTTCATAACAAATTTAAAAGTGGGCTGCTACCTAGAAAAGCTAGAGAACTACTGATCTAAAGTAATAAAAAAGTATGATGGGGCGATCAGCAATGTGAAGGTACTACAACTCATATTTCCTCCTTGATGTTCATGGTCACATTCTCTTGCTTTTAGCAGCAGCTGTCAGAAATTTGGGGTCGTCTTATTTCCTGATGATAGAAAAATGGAGGCCTGATTTGTAATTCAGATGCTTGCATTCTGGGATTTTTTGTTGGGGGTGGGGGTTGAGAGTCTGGAAACTCCAGATGGAACAGAGAGAAGAAAAACGTAGCCTGTAATTCTGCCCATAAGTGATTGTTGCAATAAACTGGAATGAATGTGAAGTGGAATGTTATTGATAGTGTAGTAGAGTTGGTTGAATAATAACTCCCTTCCTTCCACCCCCAAAAAATCCAGAAAAAAACCCATCAGGTTTGGAATGATACATGAAAAGAAATGGGCCAGCTGCCATCCAGTTCTGCTTGTCGGGTCATATTATTTAGTGTTCATGAGTATCCAGATGATTGCTGGGCCTTTGCAAAAATGTTTGTGAATCCTAAAAGTTTACTGGATTTTGACACAAGTAGTTATTCACCTAGGAGTCCACCTTGTGGAGTGTTATTAATTATGCATTTCACTATTCTACCCTTGAAAAAAGTTTTGGTCAGCAATCCAAAACAATGTCATGTAGTGTAGGTGACCAGTCACAAAAAACAAAGACAATTCATAAACTATAGGTTGAAAATTGCAGAGCTATTTGGTGAATACCTATCAATAGAAAATATAGTCACTGACATTAGAATCAGGTCACTGCAAATCTCTGAGAAATGGGGCACACTCTCAACTAATGTTATTTTTTGTTAATAATTCAACCAGCTTAATATTTCAGCTGTTAAAAGTTTGGGGTGTTAGGTTTTTTTTTTTGCTTTTTTTTTCTGAGCAGAAATGAAAAGCTGCTTTTTGATGTAATTAAGATGTACACATCTGGAATTGAGCCAAAGGTATTGAGGAAGCATTAGTTTTGATATACCTTTTAATTCTTTGGATGTAAGTATCTTCTTTGACATAAGAGCAGCAGGCAAGGGTATTGATCTGCCTTTTTTTTTTTTTTTTTTTTAAACTTGTCAACATTGCCTGCCTCACCGTGCTCAAGATTACAACATGAGAAGTACATCTGTATTGCTGAATACATAATCTGTAGGTTCCTAACTAGATCATTAATGGTCATTTAGGCACTGGATATATTGGTTGAATAATATTATTAAACTCCATATTCCAACTTATTAAATAAGGATACTTTTATGGCAGAGACTGAGGGCTTAAAAATGAAAGACATGAACTCTTTTCTTATTATCTATAGACAATGAGAATAGTCTTGAACAACAACAGCAGAGTCAGTGCTTTAAAGTCAGACTTGAATGCTGTCCTCAATCAGGAAATACTGGACATTCCTGGAAACACCTTGCAAAAGAAGTTTAAGCATGTGGATGGAATGGAAAGAGACTTGGAGCTCAAATGTAATGTTTTATATCTCTTTTCCATTAATTGATACTTGTAGTTAACATGCAATTAAAGCTTTACCATATCTTCTCTGTTTATTCATGAATCTGCCCTAACAGGAAGCATAATCTTGCTGTAACACTATTGGAAAAGGTCCAATAAAATTGAGATTGAAACACGAAGCATTACTCTCTAAGCATTGAAGTATAAGAATGACAGGCTTTCAGTTCTAGTTCTGTTGTGCTGCTTTCTATGGCAGCAGCAACTTTATGCCATCAAAACGATGTGCCTTGAGCACAAGGTTGACATATAGGAATACCTATTTTTTTTTACTGTTGTCTTTAGCAGAGACAAGTATGGAGGGCTGTGGGGGCTGAGGAGATTTTCCTGTGTTAGTAAGTGAAGCACATAAAATTCATTCCAAGTGGCCTGATTTAGATATTGCTTGGTGAATAGGACAGATTATTAACGTTGCAGAATCAGTACCTTTCCGCTACATTTTGGCATGGAAAACCGAGATTGATTTGTACAGCAAAAGATACAGGGTTTATTATAAGAAGCAATGATGTAATGCATTTGCAGTTTTAATGAATAATGATAGGACTAGAATGACAAACATTCTTAGATTAATAATCTGCCATTGAAATTATTAGAGAGGCAGGCAACTTGATCTACTGAACTGAACGTGAGATTGACAGAAAGTCTTGACTTTTATTCCTGGTTCTACCAGTGTCATGCTGTGTGACAAAGGGTCCCTCAGAACCTCTACTGAGACTATTTTTCCTATGGGAAAAATAATTTCTCATTCCCAGAAATGTTATCCTAATTGGATTAGGGTTATATAATGGTTTGAAAATCTAAGGGCCAGAGTGTTGTAGCTATAATGGCCCAGGGAATATGTAAGAAATGAAGTTTGCTTGTTAACATCTTTTATTGGACCAATTTTGGGAAAGATGTTAGACAAGTTTTTGAGCACAACATGGCTAAATTCTCTCCCAACTATATAGTTACCAAACAAGCCTTGCTACCTGGAAAGTGCAGAGTATGTATTACTTTGAAGCTATTCATTAGTGATTGCCTAATTTTGTAGAAGTAGATTTATTGCGTTACCTGTCTTTTGTGATGGTGTCTTGATCTGGCCAGCACTGTGCTTTTAG